TCGGACCTGAGCTTTATACAACAGGTATCGCAGCTCTGGAGTAAAAAATCGGTGCACCTTGTTCAGGATGCCAAGCTTGCGCGACGCGGTACAGATGACGCTCTCGATGTAATCTTTGTTGCTCATGTCCTTCCGGATGCTCATCCCCAGCAGACTGAGCCTGTCCTGCAGCGTCAGCGTTGTACCCTGAAGATGGGGAAGTGGAAGGAATGGGGATTTTTTGGAGCTGAACGCGCATACCTGGGTTTTCTTGGCGTTGAACTCAACCAAGTTTCGGGAGCCCCACGACGATATATGCTCCAAAACATGGTTGAGCTCAGCGACAAGTTTTTCCCGGTTTCTCTCAGGGTCCTCCCGGGTGCTTGACGATTGCTTATAATAGCAACCGTGCACTGTGCTATCATCTGCATAACAATGAATGTTGCCAAAAGGCAACAAGTCATTGATATGCAGAAGGAACAGCGTGGGCGACAGCACTGAGCCCTGTGGCACCCCAGCATTAACTGTCACGAGCCGCGAAGTGCCTCCGTCAACAAGGACACGCAATCTTCGCTCGCGCAGAAAGCCGGAGATCCACTCACAAAGGCGGCCGGGAAGACCATATGCCGGAAGCTTGGAGAGGAGACCACGGTGCCAGACCCGATCAAAGGCCTTAGCAATATCCAGACTTATCGCTAAGGTTTCGCCCTGTTTGTCGATAGCTTCACCCCAGAGATGCATTAGATACGCTAGAACGTCACCCGTTGATCGGTTCGGCCGAAACCCATACTGCCGATCATTAAGAATGGAGTGACGTTCCAGGTGCCGGATTATCTGGATATTTAGAATCCGCTCCATCACTTTGCAGAGCACTGAAGTGACAGCTATTGGGCGATAGTTTGTCGGATCAGACCGATCTCCTTTCTTGGGGATAGGTTGCACGTTGGCCTCCCTCCAAGCTAGGGGCACGTTACCAGATTGGTATGAGAGGCGGTATAAGCGCGTCAGTACGGGAGACAACTCCGCCGCACACCTTTTAAGGACGATAGGAGGTATCCCATCCGGACCATAGGCTTTCCGCACGTCAAGAGTCTGCAATTCCTTGCGGACATCACATTGTCTGATAACTATATCAGGCATTGTGACTCCGCAGTGGGGAATTGACGGCGGTTGCGCATCTTGGTCGTGAATGCGCGAGTTAGCCCCAAAAAGGTCGGCCAATAAATTGGCTTTCTCTTCGGGGCCATAGGCCAAAAATCCATCGGGATACCTCAAAGGCGGCAGCGACGAACGACAAAAATTGGACTGCACGGCTTTGGCCAGGCTCCAGTAGGCACGGCTACCGGTGGGATGGGCCAGCTTCTGGCCAATCCGTGAAACGCGCTGGGCATCCGCTCTTATGTAAGCCCTCCTGCAAGACTTGGTTGCTTTGTTATAGGCTGCTTTAAGGGACGCAAGGTTGGGATCCTTTGTTACACGACCCCTGATCCAACCACGATATGCAGCCTGTTTCTCACTAACAGCGTCCATGCACTTTGCAAAGACGACTGTACAGAACAGCTACTTTATTTTTAACCGACTTCAAAAAAGGAGGAGGTTCTTTATTCGACTTTGTTTTTTTTTTGTATGTATGTTACGCGATAGCTCCACATAAGAACTGACCACTAATAAAAAAATACTATTTGTGAACCAATTTTGACGATTCCTTTTTTTGTTTGAAAGAGGGTACTATATAGTGCAAGCATGTTAATTTCTTTAAACTGATCTCTTATCGACTCATCGATAGGGAATCGTTCAATACTTGTCAGAAAAAAATTCCATTTAATAAGAGTGAAAAAGGCGTGCGTTTCCTGGTAAGTATGATAAGTATACGATACGAGATAAGCTTTCGAATTGAGGTTCTAAGAATTCGTAATCAGATACTGAAAAGTGCTCGTAGGACTAACACGACAGTACTTACGCTACATAATACAAATATCTCGCGTATGTCGCGCTCTGTCGTGTTAGCCCTACTGCCTTGCATCGAGAAAAAGGTGTAGGTATGGCTGTGCTTGATCAATTTTGGAGGGAACACTTCTGTGACTCTAGACATGCACTAATGAAGATCGTTTTTCAAACATCAATTTTTGTTCTTATTAAAGATGCTACGTTAATTTACGTTTAATGCTTTTGCAAATACAAAAAACAGCAACAATTAATTACATACACAGTTAAGTACCTATTGTTACGAATTATTTGTATTCATATCCTTTTCCTTAACACTGCTGAGAAAATATTCTTGCTTATTATTGAATTAGTGGCAAAGGACAATCATTGTCACTACCTATATTATCGTAAATGTAGATGACGTGTATCTGTCCGTAGATAAGAGTTATTATACTGGCCTACTACCTCCTTTGATCATAGGTATTGCTGTATCTAACATTTTAATGTAACTCAGTAAGACACGATGTTACCCAGCATTCAAACACAATGGCCTATATTCATGATAGGTTGACCAAAGCTCGCGTGGCATATGCCACACGCCAATTTTGAAAAAAATATGTTTTCTTTTGTAATCGTATATTGTCTAAAGTCGTTTTAAAGATAGTATTTTAGCGCGCATTTTAAAAATAGGCGGGAAAATTTTAAGTTTATTATTCATGAAAAACGCCATTGCTTCTACCATGAGATTACCGTGACAGTTGTCGCTAGCGATCGCGTTTATTACTTCACAATTTTGTATGGAAAATTACACAACGCCCCTAGCAGCCACAAGAAGAAGCAACATTTTGTATACATATATTTTAAGCGATCGCTAGCAAGAACTGTCACTGTAATCTCATGGTAGAGGCACTGACTCCTAAAGATTATTATTTTCATCATAATAATGCCAAACCACACTCATCTTTAAAAACAAAATTCTTTGATTGGACACGACTTTGACAACGAACTCATTGCCCTAAAATATACTTAATGCTAATTGAGACATTTAGTCAGGAAATGTGTGAAACGTTTCAAATCATATACTTGCCCCCGTAGCATGCCTACGCATGATGGTCGAGACGCGCGCGATAAAATTGAAATAAGCGCTATTGGCTATCTAAATTAGATATGATTGAGACAGCCTATAGCGCGCGCTTATTTCAATTTTATCGCGCGCGGGTCGCGACTATCATCCGTAGCCATACTACGGGAGCTGGTCAACTAAAAAGGTGAAATGCCGTTATAATTTTAACAGTAATTAACAGTTTCCAAATAGTTCTAGCAAGTTGAGGTTCGCTGTAGAACAGTGGTCTGTTATAAAGTGAGTGGGTAGAGTAATATAATTGAGGGACAAGGAAACGGTTGTTCTCCCTGAACTTTTCAGTGCGTCATAAAGTGTTTATAGTACATTTGAAAAATTATCTTAGCTAGGTAACAACCTATTTTAATTATTCTTTTAACATGCGTTATTAATAACAATGTTAAGTACTTACAAACAAATGATAATCCATCGTTATTAGTAAAAATAAAGTACCAAAGTAAAAATAATGTATAAGTAGGTTTTGTAACTTAAAAAACTTTTTCTAAAGTCGTGTGCCCAAAATGCTGGACACAACTTTCACCAAGGAAGAAGAGAATACAAACAACTTTGAAATGTCATTTAATTTGTTTGAAAACTATTCAGCCATATCATTACTGTGATAACTGCGCTCCGATTGGCTAGCCCGAGTTCGAAACAATTAACGGGTGTCGTCAACTGTTTCGCTTCAAATCGACCAGTTAACTTGAGCTTTGCTATAATGGACGAAAATTGCAAAATTACATATTTAATATTTAATTACCGATGAAAAGTGATTCTGCTTGTTTTGTAATTAGATGTTTTGCTGTTTTTCCCACACCATCGAATAGAACAGCACGGCATTGTTAGAGATATTATCTTTATTACAATAAATACAGAATATTTTTTGGAATATAAGGAGACGTACACACAGGTCAGTAGTTGGCCTGTCTATATTTCAGTGCAAACGAGAGTTGATATTTATAAGAGCTGTATCGCTAATGTGTAGCCAGGAATATATGGCCCTTATTTCGTCTCTATTTCTGGTTATATACTCGTTGTACAAATCTTAATAAATTTACCAAACAAACTTGGTACTCGCAGCACCGTATTAAACGTAAATGTTAACTTTACAAATAACCGTGTGTATTGTCGCCTTAGAGTGTAAACCTCGCATCCGCGTTTTCACATACTTCGTTTTTACTGATTTTTGTTGAAGAAAAGTTAAATAATCTTCTTGTTCAAATATATTATTATGGTAATATAGTATCAGAAAGAGGTCTAATTTAACTGATTAAAATGCTAACTATAAACATTATTACGTTTTAATTCTCGCACCTATGAACACTGGGCAGTTGGCTGTACGAGTTTTTATTTTGCCTGTTTACATAGTCCATTATTAGTAGGTAGATTTAAAAGGTTGTAGAAGTGGATTTTCGTACTGATTTTGCAGGCTTTGGCCGGGAAGAAGTCGCACGGTCCGAAAATGACAAACTTTCTGTGTTCGTTTTTTGAAAGTAATGCAAACATTTATACATACATACATTATATCATACATACATATACATTTATAAATTACATTATACACCACATAATATTTAAAAATCTTCGTTAAAAATCACATACGAGGTATTCACTCCAAGACGCCATATGTATATTACTAAACTACTTGAATATTTATATTTTAAACTTGAATATTAATATTTTAACTGCCTCCGTGGCCGAACGGTTACCATGCCAGACTGCCACGCAGAGGTCCCAGGTTCGATTCCCGGGCCGGGAGAAATATTTGTATGGCCTACATTTATTTCTCTCGTGAGTTTGGGTGTAATTTGTGGTTGTTTATGTGTGTGTCCATGGCACCCGCGATACAGGGTTTCCCTAGTGCGGGGCTATGTTGATTGTGAGCGTTATATTATTATTATTATTATTATTTAGTAAAAGTCGTACATTGTTGATGTATACGTTCGTGTCTAAAATGTCTCTATTAATTTTGCAGCACCATACATCACGCCATGCCACGCGTCGGATTCCGAATGCCTCAAGACAAGTGCACAGAAGGCGGTGCCGTTCTTGGCTCCAGGTATACCCGAACTAGGGATGAAGTCACTCGACCCAATGCACATTGAACTGGTGCGAGCTGACCAGGCAGGATTGAAGGTCGAGTTTCGAAAAACTGTCGTTAAGGGCCTGCGGAATTGTGTTATTCTATCCATGAAGTGAGTACATTTTCTACACATCCATGATATTCAGCCAGTCTAACGATGCTAGGTATTCTAGTATAAACTCAACTAAATATTAAAAAGACGAGCTGGTCTAAAATCTTATAGAGTGCAAGACAACAGTCATACGTCGCAAGAATGTGACTATAATAAATAAATAAATAAACTATATAAGTCATGGGTAAAATAAATTTACAATTGAAAACGTCACTTTAAGCTACTGCCCCCATCGCTGAGACTGCTGCTGACTTCCCTGAGAAAAACGAGCAAGAAACTCTAGGGTTTGCTCTTTTCAAATAAACTGAAATGCTTTCCAATACATTTTGAATCAAATTTGTGTGGATTCTGGAGCCGTGTCGTCTTTCCATACATCTTTATCTAACACGTAGTCTTCAATTTTGTAATACGACTTTTCAATTAAAATATTTTTAATGTAGTTTTTAAAATTATTAATACAAAGATCGAACACTCAGAAAAAACACTCAGAAAAAATTCCTTCGATCCGGTCGGATTCGAACCGAGACGTGTTCTTGCATACCGTGCCAGACGCTATACCTTTGTATTAATAATTATAACAAACTAATGGAGTAATTTCACAAAAAAATAATGGAATATCAATTCAATAAAAATTTAATTAATACAGTGAATAGTGACATCTCTCGCCAGGACTGGTAGCTGTAAAGGTACTAACTGGGTGATAAATCTGTCATAGATTTTTCATAGATGGCGCTATGACTAAAAAGTCGTTGAAAGACCAAGTACAAATACACGACGCAAGCACATAGAAAAATTCGTGAGGTCCGTTGGTTCGTTCCGTGGCTTAGTTGGTATAGCGTCGGGCACGGTATGCAAGAAGACGTCGGTTCGAATCCGACCGGATCGAAGGAATTTTTTCTGAGTGTTCGATATTTGTATTAATAATTATAACAAACTAGTGGAGTAATTTCACAAAAAATAATTGAATATCAATTCAATAAAAATTTAATTAATAGTTTTTAAAGTTAGGAAATGATAATCTTAATATATGCTCCGGAATCTTATTGTAAAAACGTGTAGCAGCCACAGATGTGCCATACAGTTCCCCATAACTCTATGGGGAACGTTCAGTCAAAGTGACCGAACGAGTACAAGGCTGTCGGCGAGCCGTTTTCGCGCTAAGACGGCTTTGATGTTTGAATATAGTTTTCATTTATTCATTACGAAATTTATACGTTAATATTTATTTATTTATTTATTTATATATAACATCATTTTACGTTACTATTTATAATGGTCGTGAATTGTGCTGTGTATTTCATTATTTCAACCTTTGATTGCCTTTAGTTTAGTACTTACAAGTATTTTTGTTTGAAGACGTCATGGCAAGAAACAGTCCATAGAACTGAAGTGCTCGGTGGTGCTGGTGGGAGACTACACGATCGGCGGACGGCTCCTCATTCTGCCGGTTGAGGGTGAGGGCAAGTACAGGATCAAGATCCGTGAGTATAATACTTGTTTATTTTTTACAATTCAAACGTCTCTTATTCAGTCTACCACGAAAGTAGGAATGGGGACTTCACACGAACTATCCTTGATGTAAGGTTTCTCACAGTGGTTTTCGTGGTGTCGTTAACACTAAATTTCTAGGTTCGGCCCCCGATGTAGAAATACCAATTTTTATATGTTGTCTCGCATCTGGGTGTTCGTGGTACCGTCTTTGTTTCCGATGTTTACAACACAAGTGCTATAGTTACTTACTTGGGGATCAGAACAACGTATGTGATTGTTATCTTATATTTTCTTTGCTGTAGTTTTATCGCATTTAAATTTTGATATTCAATTATTTTTTATGTGAAATTACTCCACTAGTTTGTTATAATTATTAACACACAATACAAAAATTACGAACACTCACAAAAAATTCCTTCGATCCGGCCGGATTAGAACCGACGTCTTCTAGCATACCAACTAAGCCACGGAACGAGGCAGCGGACCTCACGAATTTTTCTAAGTGCTTGTTGTCGTGTCTTTGTATTTGGTTTTTCAACGACTTTTTAATCTTCTCTTAAGTAAGAAATCTTAAGTATTTCGTCACCCAGTTATAGATACCTCTACAGCTACCAGCCGTGGCTAGAGATGTCTTAATTTACTATATTTAAAAAAAAACCCCAGGATCAGGCTAGGAGGTACACTTTTTCAGAAACTTAATCTTTGTAGTTGCATGTTCATGTACATTCACGTGTGATTCACTATGTAACAAATTCTCAAAAAGGCTTTGTTTCTGTCCCTGTACTACGATATTATCAACTATAAAGCTTTATTCTCATCATGAGTCTTCTAATTTTATCGAGTATTAATTATTTGACAGTCATTGTTTCGCACGGATGTTGGACGAAAAATGAGAGTACAGGGCCTGGTTATACAGTATTGGTGTCTGTTCAATGGAGTAGCAAGTATCTAGAAAAGAGTAACTATGTACCTGAAACTTTGCTCTTGTGGCTGTCACAGTGGTATTTGCATAGCTGTCTATTTACATAGCTACTCGCACATGGTGGTATACGTACAAAATACCATTGGTGGTATTTACATAATCTCGCAAAATGCACACATTTTTATGTCCTATAGCATCAATTTGTAGAATTTTGGTTGCAATTTACAATAGGTTTTGAATATAATATTCCCTTTTTGTCTTTAAAAGAAGAGCAGCAGTAGAGCTCCTTGTGACAGAGTTCGTCCAGGGAAGTACTGCCACTTCACCAATTTCTGCCGCCAAGCAGTAAAGTTAGCATTACTGCATTCCGGTTTTGAAAAGATCTGAGGAGCACTGCCACTGCGCCCGACACCCTGAGACATAAATTGACTAGTCCCATGTGCCTGTAATTTCACGCAATTTAATTCCGGAAAAATAGTTTAATTTCTTATAAGTACTCTAATGCTACTAAATATTACAATGATGGTCTTGTTGTGATCAGTGCCTTGCCTAAAATTGAAATTTGTTTCTTTTCATAGGTGATCTAATAGTGACTGTCAAGTACGATGTGGGCGAAAAGATCATGGATGGGGATGTATATTGGACGCTACCGAAGTGGACGCATTCCACCGAACTTCAGGGTGGTGCCGAATTCCAGTTCCAGAACCTTTTCAATGGAAATAAACAGCTCTGTAAGTGTTAATATGTATATCGCTCTTGATGATGGAATGCAATGCCTTACTATACATAGGTGTCTCTAGATATTCCACGAACAATCTCGGTTAGCGATGAAACTGATATCTAATATCGGAAACTATTATTTACGTAGATATAAGTATGTCGATGGTTGCGGCCAATCACCGAATTATAGTTGTTAAACTAACAAATTTCGTTCTAGCTGATGCAGTGCACCAGTTCGCCAACCAGAACTGGAAAGATATCTTCCAAGAAGTGGCGCCACCGATTGTCAGAGAAATCGTCACGGCCATCGTCCTGGAAGTTTCGAAGTTCTTCACCAAAGTGCCTTTAAAGGAACTCGCGTTGGATTAAACAATTGTGTTAGACGCGTTATGGACATTGTAGAAATAGAGCAAAATTTGGCAACGTGTGGATATACAAGAATTTGGTATGTCGAAGTTGCCGATAGTTTATAGAATGGGGAGATTGATAGAATAGTAATATTTTGTTAAACAAAAATGCCAGATTGCTTTTACCATGTTATATTTTTAGATTTGCCATAATTAAGTTAAATAAAAAAATAATAAATTATGTTATAATTATATGTTCTTCATTGTTAAATATATTAAGTATATTGTATGTAAAAACATATATCAACAACGAATACAACCAGAGAAAAAAATAAGTAAGAAAAAAGTAGTTAGTCATCTACGCGTGGCTCGCGAGTCTTCTGGAAAATTCTGGCGTAGTCTTGATAATTAACTAACGCACCTATGATATGGTATCTACTTTGTATGTTATATCAAGTTCATAATGCTATGCGCAATTTTGTAATAAAAATTCGCTCTTCTTCCGTAGCGCGGATTAAAAGTAGTAAATTGAGTCTAAGTACAAGCCGGTGTCAACTTGTTAAAATTGAATATTGCACTACAGTCGTTAAATTGTGGCAGCAAGTTAGAATGGAGCAAAAAAGTCAAAAGAATGTTGAGTATTTGGCTCTGGGCACTATTCAGCAGGTTCTCATGTTATTAATTTATTTTGTTGTCACTTCGTTTAAAAAATAAAGCCATACGAAAGTTCGTAAGGTTTAATTTCCTTTATTTCCAAATGATCAGGGCCTGGTATTTTAATGTAAACAATTTTAAATTGGAACAGTTTTGCTATCATATTTTTATTAGGCGTACTTGCGTAAATAACCTTCTGTTATTAGATGGAGATGATTTGCTAGGTGTTCGGTTTATACCACGTTTAGGTTCGGTGTAAAATCAGTTTATTTCGTGGTAAGTATACCTTTCCGCTTTTATTTATTTAAAACCAGTGATAGATATAAAAAAAATTAAGAAAAAAGAAGACTAAATACGTATATACGAAATATATATATAGTATACGAAAATAGTTGTTTAGAAATAGCAGGGAGTACTTTTAGAACAAAAACCGTTGTTACGATATTATACTAAAAACAAAGATTAAAAATAAACATTATGAATTACGTCCAACGTTCTAACGTTCGATTTCCGGGCCGGGAGAAATATTGGAAAATTAAATAAATATTATATAATTTTCATAACGTGCGGTCACCGTGCATTATATATTTCCATACATATAATAAAAACATCAACACGAAATCTGAAACGGCAGATATTTAGTAGTAAATTACTACTAAAATTTTACCAATTATAACGAAGTTTAATTCACTTAAGAAATCGTGCCTTTTAAAAACGTGCGGATTGAGTGAGCATAAGAAAGTATTTGTAATAAATTGAAAAAGGCACTAATCGATCTGTAATTAAAAACGATAGTTTAACTAAACTTTTACTAAAAACTAGTACAATAATATTATATGTAAACTTAATACTTTTGTAGTTCTGACTAGCCCTCTGTGAGAATGTGCACGAGAGTGAGCACGCCTTAAGTTATTTTTATCTTGTTTTATCTTTTTACAAATAGAAAGATTGGTTTCTACAATTGTTTTAGAACTTTTACTAAATGACCTGATGAATGATTACACATTTTACAGAGGGTGCTTCCGGATTATTTATTAATATTAATTCCGGAAATTTATTGTGCGCCACACGCAGTGCACAAAAGTACGTACTAAATTTAGTAGATAATTATTATCGGGTTATTTACGTCAACTCAAGTAGGATATCTCATCGACTTGAGTTTGAAGACCTAAATGAATTTGAAATTTTGGAAAATGAGGTTTAGATTTGTGGGAAGATCAAGTTGTCACGACGTTCACAAGTTAGAGCTACAAAAATGTCAAGCCGTTCCTGAGCCGAGTATACTTGCACTTCTTATTCTCGCACTTTGCTTGCAATGCTTTATAGCATATAGGACGGGAGGCGCTATTAGCGTTATTTCTCAACAAAACTTTCTGTCACTTTTTGAGGGAGGGGGTTTAGTATTACAAGCAAACAGGTGCATTCAAATGCAAAATTGAATCTCACACAAACAAACGTCTACCACACTAGCATGTCCGTACACAGAATAGGCCTATAAAAAGAAATCGATTCTCATGAATATACTAGAGACGGAAAGTTATCGAGGTGAAGGTGTCGATATGTATTACGTAGTGGTTAATCGTGTATATGAAAAATGATTGATGATCCACCTTTCCACCCTTTCCACCCACCTTTGGCTAGACTGGATGTAGTGAATTTCTTTTTCCAGTTTTGTGTGTAGTGTAACTGCGATATTGTTTTACTTGTATTTGCCAGAGGAGGTTACCCATTGATTTACCAATAAATGGACCACAATAAATACAATCCAAAGTGTAATCCAAAAACCGCGAAAAAATGTTTTGATTTTTTTTTCAGTTTATGGCTTTTTGCGGTCAGCGTTGGAGCCAATGACAAGCATGGCCGGAGTTAACCTCTGTAAACGTAGTGACATGTATAGAAATATTAAAAAAACTAAAACATTTCATTTAAACTGTATATTCATTGCAGTATTTAATTGCTTAATTTTGTTTGCCACAATTTAAAGGCCTAAAAATTATCCATATTCAGCTTCTACTGGAAATAACAAAATGCACCATATTTATCTTCTAGTGGAAACTACTTGAGCACAAGAGTGATGGAGTAGTCTTAATGTCAATATTAATTAAGTTTTTTATTGAATTGATATTCAATTATTTTTTGTGAAATTACTCCACTAGTTTGTTATAATTATTAATACAAAGGTCGAACACTCAGAAAAAAATCCTTCGATCCGGTCGGATTTGAACCAACGTCTTCTAGCTTACCGTGCCAGGCTATATACCAATTAAACCACGGAACGAACCAGCGAACCTCACGAGTTTTTCTATGTGCTTGAGTCGTGTCTTTGTATTTGGTTTTTCAACGACTTTTTAGCGTAGCGCCATCTATGAGAAATCTATGAAAGATTTATCAAACAGTTAGTACCTTTATAGCTACCAGCACACTGTATTTTGATTTTTGTTGAATTGATATTCAATAATTTTTTGTGAAATTACTCCACTAGTTTGTTATAATAAAGTAAATATGTATGTAGTTGTAGTTGTTTGTGTGTGCCAAGTTATGTAAAAATTTGATTTTTCAAAATGAAGCGAATAAATGAAGATGGTCTTTGATTCATTGTTTATACACTATGTATTATACGGCGGTATGATTTCAAACCAGGTTTTTTTCTTTTTTGATTTGTAGGTAAACTTGAAATAATAAAAATAATAATAATAAAAACCTCGTAATGACTTATTTTAATAACAGAATATCGATAATATGTACGCTTCCAAGAACAACACTATCTCAAAATAATCGTTAACAACAATCATCAATTGTGCTTTTAGATCTGTATTTGGTAAGTAGTGTAGTGTATGTAGTAAGATACAGTAAGTTCAAACGTGCAAGCGTCCTCTGACGACTCGCACCCCCGTCCTGCACAGAGTTTAGACCGATCTTTTAAATATATTTATTATTGTATGAAAGTAAAATCGGATGAATTCTTAAAATTCACGGAATAGAGTTGTTGTTTATGATTATTAGAAACTGGCTGAAGTAGATACGAATAATTTAAGTTGTTGTCAGCGGGCCGCCAGAGCATTGTGTTTTTTACCAATGTCAATTCTATTTCAATGTATTATTTTAGTACTTACCTTATTTTATAACTGTTCGCTCGCTCGTTAAAAATGATGTTAGTAATAAAGTCCTCAGAGGTTATTATTATTTTTCAAATAACCCTGTACGTACCATTACGCCTGTCTATCCTGGAGTAGGCAAAATTGTAGAGCTCCACCCACTACACCCCTGACGTACTTCTTTTGCTTCCTCGTATAATAGTAATAATGGGGATGACCACACCAAGTACCTGGTCTCAAAACTAAAGGCTTTTCTGTACTATTACTACCAAAGCAATGGAATTCACTCCGGGGCGCTATCCAGAACATTCATAAATCCGGGATCTCCTCAACCAGCAACCATAATTTATTGGGTCACAGAGGTCGTCAACATAGCTACATAGTAATAGAAAAGTATAGTAATTATACATAAGCTGTTTTATAGCCTACATTTATTTCTCTCGTGAGCTTGGGTGTAATTTGTGGTTGCCTATGTGGGTCCTTGGCACCCGCGACACAGGGTTTACCTAGTGCGGGGCTATGAATGTGTAGCGTTATAAAGGTCATTTAACAATTTTTTTTAATCTTATTTTTAATAAGGCCTATAACACTTGGGCGTCAATGGCGGCCTTGTGATGTCAATTCCTATGAATTATTGTACTCTACCGTATCCTCACATATGAGTACAGAGTTTTAGTCCTCTTCGCCAACGGGTCACCCAACACAATTAACTCCCAAACTTGCCAAATACCCCCTAATTGAAATTGGCTTCTTAGAGCTGATGGCTACATTGCATTAAATGTAGCATATCTTCAAGTTTGTTACAGAATTTCTTTTTACCGCTCTTTTTATTAGATGATAGAAGTTATTTAAGCGAAGGTGGCCAGTGCGAAGTCTAAAAGCTAAGACCAGTGCATTTCTAGAAAGTGCACCGTCCACATAAAGAAACTGGTCTTTATGATGTTAGTAATATAGTCCTGTGAGGTTGTTAGTGTTTGAATAACAACCCCGTATATATTCCGAGCAGTGGTAGCTCAAAAGGGAGAACTGTTGCTTGTCAATTGGGACGTCAGTGGTTCGAATCTCTGTCATCTATCTATTACGCAGTAGTACCTCTCGTGAACGAAAACAAAAAAATGTCATGAGACCGAAGAAAACGTGTAAAGTCCTCAACGTGGCGGACTACACGCCCCGCAGAGGGGCGTAAATGGATTGAGGTCATTATTGTTTTTTTTTTCGTTTCGGTGGTTAAAGTACGAGTGACAGTTACCAGTAATTATTTTAACAATTTAAAACATTCGTATTGCTTCATTTCTAGACAAGTCGTTAGTGCTAAGAGGACAAAGAGGAATATAAATAAATTGTTCGGGATAATTTCAGGTTCTGATATGGATATACGATACGGCGGGTCGCAGACTTTGCTCCCTTATTAAAACACTTACTGAATTGGGAGATAATTTCCGTATATTTGTAAAGGTATTCAAGCGAGACAAAAACAA